AAACCCAACATTTGAAACATCAATTTGAATACTTTTCGAAGTGATTTTGAAAAACTCATGAATTAAACTCAACTTTATTTTGTTCAAACTTGCATTTGCTGTAATAACCCAAATTGAGGAACATTCCCCATTGTCTTGGAATTTGTGTATGACAGATCAAAAATTCTATTCAGAAATAGAAAAGAAAGGTATATGTGACTATATTTGGCTGTTTATGTATGACTATAACCAAGATAACATAATGAGGAGATGACTGACTACAACTAAATCTTTCACCTAAGTCAGATATTTTAATATAAACAGGCCTTTTGATGCCTTTGAAAGTTTAAAAATCGAAAAGAATTTGAAATAAAGCTGATTCAGATTTCTTGATGATGGTGACTCGGTCATTGAAACTTGTGTTGAGGTATAGCGTTTTTATTCTGGTATGGAAAAGGTGGTTTTATTGATTTGAGGTCGATAAATTTTGAAAGAAAGGTTATCGGGTGCACTAGAACGTTATACAGAAAACATTGTAATTATATTTCAAATCAAATATTGAATATTTGTATCCTATTTCTAGTAGAAAGTTCTGATGATGAAGATGAAGGTGTGAATGTGGCTATTGAGATGGAAGATTCAGAAGAAGATGGTAGCTCTGAGGAAGAGGAAGATGAGGAAGACTGTGATGAAGAAGAAGATGAAGACGGTAATGATGAATATTCCAAAATTTGTTGTACATTAGGTGCTATTTTTGGTCCCTGAATGTATTTTTTTAATTGAATTTGTCAAAATATCACAGTTACTCCTCACCATATGTTTTATGAAATTCTCAACTATTGTAGCAAACAAATATTATTAACAAAATGAAGAATTTTAACAAATTATTTCATAGCAGGTTGTTCAAGTAATAGTAATCTACGATTTATGTGTTTTTGTATTAGCAAAATAACAAGACTATATTTGAAATTATTTTACCATTATTTCAGATGAAGATGAACAAGATGTGGCTTTAGGGGATGGTTTTGAGAAACCTGGATCTGATAGTGGATGTACTGCAGTTGTGGCAGTTCTTAGAGAAAATGAGTTATATGTGGCTAATGCCGGAGATTCCAGATGTATTGTTTGTCGAAATGGTGAGTAATAAAATATAACGTGTTGTTACGTTTTTGCCTTTATAGAATAGAACAAAAGTTAAAGTTAAAATTAATAAAAGGAAAAGGAACTTCTGCTGTAGAATAAATCCAAAACAAGCACTTCTTCAAGATGGTTGATGATATGCGTGTCGAAAAGAGTATTGCTGTTCTGGTTATTGGGAAAATTGTTTGTTTTGAATTTTAGGAAAAGTCATTGCTATATGGTTGAATGTTTATTTCGATACTGTCTCAGAAGTAGAAAAAATATGAGCGCTATAGAAATAAATATTTCACATCTTGAGTTTGTAAAATAAAGTCAAAACATTGATACCAATGCATGATTGTCACTTAACCGTGACACGTGTTCCGCTATACAATAGCTTACTCAAGCGTAAACTAAAAAATACTTCTAGATTACAACTATTTTATACTCTAACATATTGCCTACTTGTATGCCTACTTTCTAATGAATTAATCTACCTGAAAAAGTAAGATATGTATTCATTAACTATATGAATACATTTTTCGAAAGTATGGTAAATATACCTAACTATTTTTACCTGGAAATAAACAGATTCAATAATGAGGAATGATTCAATTTTATTTCCAGGTAAAAATAGTCAGGTATAGTTACAGTTACAGTACTTTTGAAAAATTTATTTATATAGTTGATGAATTCATACCTGACCTTTTCAGGTAGATACATTCATTAGAAAGTAGGCATACAAGTAGGTAATATGTTGGAGATCTCAAGCGTAAACTAAAAAATACTTCTAGATTACAACTATTTTATACTCTAACATATTACCTACTTGTATGCCTACTTTCTAATGAATTAATCTACCTGAAAAAGTAAGGTATGTATTCATTAACTATATGAATACATTTTTCGAAATTATGGTAAATATACCTAACTATTTTTACCTGGAAATAAACAGATTCAATAATGAGGAATGATTCAATTTTATTTCCAGGTAAAAATAGTCAAGTATAGTTACAGTTACAGTACTTTTGAAAAATTTATTTATATAGTTAATGAATTCATACCTGACCATTTCAGGTAGATTCATTCATTAGAAAGTAGGCATACAAGTAGGTAATATGTTGGAGTATAAAATAGTTGTAATTTAGAAGTAACTTTTAGTTTACGCTTGAGGGACTATTGTTTAGCCACCTGTCGCGGTTTTTGTAAAACCCTTTGAAGTGAAAATCATGCAATAAACTGTATTAATTAGTTTTAATATGGATTTTCATCAAGTATCAGCCAGTTCCATTCAATTTTCAAAACTTTGATGACTATAGAAGTATGAGTGGGTTGTAGATTTTTCTATAGATATATTAATAGAAGCATTTCCTTATAATATAATATGAATTTTTGATGCACTGTTTGGTACCTTTGGTGTAGTAGTGAATATTACTGGAGTTCCATCCCAATCTTCCTCTTGAAGATGATCACTTTGTGATCGAAACACGTGTCGAGATGTTAAAATAACGGTTTGGTGTTGGGATAGAGCTCCAGTAATATTCACTTAATATGAATATTTAAAAGTTTGAACTCAGTTGAAAAGCGACATCTATTTTTTTCTATAAGCGTCAGCTCATCAAAAGTGAGTGGTTCTATTTGACCCTCCACCGCAAACAGTAAAGGCAGTTTTTGCCCATTTTGAGATGGCAGTAGGTGTAATAGTATAGTTGTATTAAGAGAAAAAGTTATGTTTTGTGTGGTGAGCTACACAAAACTTTTTTCTCACCTGGCATTACAAGTAAAGGATGGTGATAGGAACGATTTTTTGACCCATTGACTCTTGATTTGTTATTTAGAATGATGATTGTAAAAACAAAAATGTTATTTGATTTATAGGAAAGGCAATAGAAATGAGCCTTGATCACAAACCGGAAGATGATATAGAGCGCCAAAGAATAGAAAAAGCTGGTGGTAAGGTGAATTGGGAGGGACGAGTCAATGGAGGTTTGAATCTTTCTAGAGCAATCGGAGATCATTCTTACAAACAAAATAAAGAACTGTCGGATAGAGAACAGATGATAACTTCTTTGCCAGATATCAAGACACTTACAGTTAATCCCAAAGAAGACGAATTCATGGTTCTTGCCTGTGATGGTATCTGGAATTTCATGTCCAGCCAAGAGGTCGTTGATTTTGTCAGACCAAGAATAAATACTTGTGATAAATTGTCTAAAATTTGTGAGGAGGTAAGTTCAATTTATATTATTTTATTATGGGCTTTTGTTGGATTCAAAAGATTAGTCCATTATTAATAATTTTTTTGTGTCCATTCATTTCTTGTTTCAAAATACCACCATATCATTGGGAAAACTTTTGGAATATTCCGAAGAAACAAAATAATTCCAACTAATCATAAAGCTCTGCCTGCAGTTGAGTCAGTAAGATGTTCCACTGCGCCACCTGCAGACAGAGTCCGGAAACAACACCACAAACACAATCCGAGGTGGGAGTCGAATAATCAATAAATATATTCCAGAGAGGTACATAATATATGCCCAAGTTCTTGTGAAAGTACCAAATCCTTGCCTCTCATGTGCGACCTTCGATTTTGTAGGTACGTGTGGCAAATACCAAACAAAAAAACAACAACTAACCCAGCTAACGCCGCGCAGAATGACGAGGTAAAACTATAAATCACCTGTGCAACATGTTCCGTTCAAAAGATTCGTCGCAAGTAACTTCCTATATTTGAAAAACTGAAATTGAATTATATTGGTCGGGATAATATCGACAGACCGGTTTCGGAGTTCTAGCTCCTCGTCAGTGCTGAGACGGAGTGAACCGAGTGAACATATATTCATTTATTTATATACATATATATCTTTATATATCTATATCTATATATCATTTTACATGGTACCCTGAATCTACTACACATCATTTCTTTGAAACAGCTATCGATAACTTCTACAACTATGAAGCATGAGTAATCGAGTACACCGCACACCTTGCTGTTAAAGTGTCGAAAGCAGCACTGCAACACATCCTTGCACCTCTACAACCTCGTTCTGACTTCACGGCAACCGTCTGCTCAGCGAGCGATAGTAAAATGACAACCGCTAGGTGAATGTCTCGATCTTGAAATGACCTTCAGGAGATCTTCATGTATCCTACCACCGCTGGCTTCTATTGCGGACTGAATGCTTTGATGGACTGAAACATTAGCACCAAATTTCTCATAAAAACATTCACCCCCCTACTTCCAACTCGATGCCGAGGGCAAATTCAAATCTCAAGGTCAACATTCATGTTCAAGGTCATATGTCGTCCTCATAGCTCAAGGTCGTTAAGGGTATTCAAGGTCGTATGACGTGCACATAGCTCAAGGTCGTGTGGTGGGGAAGGTTCCGAACTGTTATTAGCACCCTACTAAAATAATCGAACATTCCATAACAAGGCTGTGGCGTGAGTGAGGAAAATGCATTTTTCTATATCGCCGACCTCTGTATAGTGGAATGTTCAAATTTCGCGGGTTACGTACCTTCGATTAGCGATTTTCTTTATGTTGGTACACTCGTCTCGAACATATGTTCACAATTTCAGCTGTTAAGAATGTTTAGTTTGTTTGTGAGAGGCAATAAAGTTGAAAGTGTTTCGCGTGTTCAGCTATTGAAAAAAATGATCAAAGATTTGCATCAAATTTTGTGTAGAAAAATGGAAATAAATTCTTAAACACTTGACATGTTGACAGTGGCACACGGTGATTGTACTGTGAATCAGAAAAATATTTACAAGTGGTACAAGCTATTCACAGAAGGTCGAGAAGATGTGAATGACTACTCTCGCCCTGGACGCCCTAGCACATCAACAACCAAAAAAAATTGCTGAATTTTGACCAAAATACCGTCGCATCAGTATCGCTCAGGAATTGTCGAATGACGTCAACGGCGATCCAGAGAGGGTCATAACTGGTGATGAATCATGGTTATGACATCGAAACATTGATAAAAGCATATTCTTTCTCCCAACAGATTCAAAAAAAGTTTATGATACTATTCTGAAGTTAAAAAATAGTGAAGCAGTAGGTGAAGATGAAATACCAACTGAATTACTGAAACATGTAGCATATGAGATTTGTGAACATATTGCACACATAATCAACTTATCATTTTTGATAGGTATTTTTCCTGATAACCTTAAAATTGCGCATGTCAAAGCTATCTTCAAAAAGGGAAATGATCAACTATAGGCTCATTACAATATTGTCAAATGTTAGTAAAATCTTTGAAAAAATAATATACAATAGACTGATCATGTATCTAGAGAATAATAATCTTCTAAGTGATATTCAGAATGGATTTAGAAGAAAGAAATCGACTACTCAAGCTAACTATCAAGCTCTATGTAAGGTAATTGAATCTATCAATAGAAAAAAGGCTATAAAAGCTGTCAATCTGGACTTGTCCAAGGTTTTTGACAGTGTTGACCATAGGCTACTGATCACAAAACTGTCGTTCTATGGTATCAGAGGGCTGCCACTCGAACTAATTACGTCCTATTTAAAAAATAGCCAGCAATGTGTCACTGAAAGGGATACTGATGGAAATCTAATGAAATCAGAAATTCTATATATTGTAAGAGGTGTACCCAAGGGGTCAGTGTTGGGCCCACTACTGTACATTCTTTACACTAACAATGTGCTGGAATTTTGAATCATGGTTCAGTATGCCGATGACTTCTGTGGTTTTTAGTTCAACCAATCACAACTACCTACAGGAAAATATCTTTTTCAAACTAAATATTCTGGAGGAGTACTTTACATCACACAATCTCAAACTGAACAAAAACAAGACACAAATCATATCTTTTACCCAAAATGGCACAAATAATGCTTTTAGTGATGGTGTAACTATTTTAGAACCAGTGACCCAAATTTACTTTCTTGGAATTATAATTGACTCAAAGCTGGACTGGAAGAGCCACATAGATAATAAAATGGCAACACAAATGTCAAGGTACTGCTATGCCCTGAAAATAATTACACAAAATATATCCACTGAGGCTGCGATGTTAGCATATAATAGTTATATTCAGAGTCACATCAGATATGACATGTTCTGGGGAATGTCTGCATATACACAGAAAATATTCATATTGCAAAAACGGTGTCTTAGAAAAATATTCAACCTTTCTCAGAGAGAAAGCTGTAAAAAAATATTCTTAGATAAAAAATATCAAACACCAACATGTCTCTTCATTTATGAATCTGTATTATTTGTCAAAGAAAATATATCACTTTTTGCGACTCATGATAGGAATCATACCCACAACACACTAAACAAAAATAACCTTTTGAATATAAAGACACATTTGACCTATCTGGAAGGATTCTTCAATGATAATTTAAACTGATGTTGTACGTGTTGAATATTTCATGTCGTATCATTCTGCATTGTGATGTATTTTAGTCTCTTTTGAACCCTACATATAGATGTATATGTTCGTGTTCTGTATTCTGTATCATAAGGTGTTCTGTATTCTGTATCATAAGGTGAATGAAATCAGAGAGCTAACACACATTTTTGTAGGCTCCTTAAAAATTGATGATTTTTCATTGGTGATACGTTGGTTTTTTGGAAAATTCTGTGCAACTGGATAATATCAATAGTGATGGTTCAGTTGATTCAATAATTAGTGGTTCGGCTGTTATTGGTGAAGCAGAAACTTGATGATAATTAACAATTTATTATCAAAATTCGTGAAATTTACCAATAAAAACCTTAGTTTCTTTTTTATTTTGCTCCAGGCAAAACAACTCAATAAATTATAGGCCCTGAAGAAGTTTCCCATTAGAAGCGAAAACTTGGCAAAGTAGAACAGAGATTTGATTTTTGATGTTTTGACTGGTCCATGTGAAAAACTAGTGCTTGAAAAATTAGTGTGTGAAAAATTGATAATTCGCCAAGAAAGCATGAAAAAGGTTAAAAAGGGGATTAATACTGTGTTTCAAGTATGTTATATGGTACAAAAACGTTATTTCCAAGTGTGCAAATAACCCAATTTTTGTTTCCAGATTTTACTGTATTTTGGCATGTTACAGCCCATATACAGGGCTTTTCATGATGAGCGTTAATTAGCCGTTTCTGACAAACTATTTAACGGATCAACCTGAAAATTTCACAGTATGCATAAAT